AGCTCCAGTGGCACAATGTATTAGCACATAGGACAAAAAAAAAAAAAAAAAAATAAAATGAAATTCAGAGATAACCTGCCTAAGCATAATCTTAAAAGCTAATACCCTATTTGTACTATCAACAACATAAAAAAAAGCTTATAATAACATTTCAAAATATGTACACAATTACTAAAATAAACATAACGTAGGTTGTTTGTACCCATACACTATACACAGAATCACTGTGACTGTGACAAATACAACTGCAGACTGAAGAGAATATTTGAGTCACCAATACTGTGCAAGTAGCATTACCATCAATTATGTAATTGTCTAAAGAGGTGAAGAACTCCTGATAAAGTTCTGAATGAAAACTTTAACATTCCTCCCATATACGTGATAACTGAATTCCTCAAAATTATAGTCTATACAGTTACTTTCTATGCTCAGATCATTATGATCACTCCTTTTTACCTACATCATCAAAGGCCAGCAAATCATTCAATAAGTCATATGCTTATTTGGAAGAATTCTTAAAATGCACAGACTGTCCTGAACATTGTGTGATGGCTGACTTCCCTGGTTCTTTCTCGTTAAATGCTAATAGTGTCCCCTTCCCCCATCTTTGGTGCAACAAAAACACCTCCAAGGATTTCATCCTGCCGCATGCACAATATAAAGTGCATTTTTTTCAGTCTATCACTCTTTTCTACAATCCAGTCCCATCTAATTTAGCCAAATTTAGCCAAATTTTATTTCATACAATTCACTCAACCATAATCAGATTGTTTTGTTCTTTAACCAAAACTATGTATTTCCAGCTCTAATTCTTTGCAATTTCTATTTCCACTGCTGATTACGTCCTTTTTCCTTCCTTCTACCTGCCTAGGTTAAACATTAACTTTCATCAAGATCTCATTTGCCCATAATAACCTTCTATGTTTGAACTCCTACAGCATTTATTGTTCTCCATCATCCACTTTGGCACTTAAATCACATGCTGTCATGTGCATGCATTGTCACTTCAATTAAGAGCGTTGTCTTATAGAAGCCTTTTTTTGCCCTCCAAATGAAATATTAAGCATAATTCCATATATTAATTTATGAAGTAGAACTGTTTTAGTTGAACCAGAAATTGCCTCCCTACCCCCACGAACCAGGGCCTCGCCCACTTTCTTCCTTACCACCTTACCACTCCCTAGCTCTCAGACTAGTTTTCAGAAAGCACCCAATATTTCGGTCCTAAAGGGGGGAAAAAACCCTAACTTCACAGGACTGAAGAACTTAGTGCTGTAAAAATCAACATAATACTGAAAACAAACTGAAAAGCTACGGTTAAAAACAGAAGTCTAGAGAGGATAACTATTTGAACTAAGAGTACTGAAAAAGAATTTGGTCATTTAGAGTAGCAGGAAGTACTATTGTTAAGCAATGAGAAAATAAATATGAATCACACTTTTACAGGGGCTAGAACTACATTAAGTTAGCCACTAGCTACATGAGGCTATTTTAAATTAATTAAAATTTAAAATCTAGTTCCTCAATCCTACTATGCAAATTTTGAGTGCACAATAGCCACATACATACACCTAGTGTCTACTGTATTAGACAACACAGAACATTTCCACCATCACAGAAAGTATGACTGAACAGTGCTGGGCTACAGGAAATAGACGCCAATAAAAAACTAAAATACAATATAGTGAGTAAAATAAGGTAAACTCTGGGATGCTACAAAAACACAAAGCAGAGGTAGCTAACTAGGCCTTAGAAAGAAGTTAAGAAGGGCTTCCTAAAATAAATAGTAGGTGAGCTAAGTCTGAAAGTTTTCAAGGATGGGAACAGAGGTGGAAATCTATACTTCAGGCAGTAGGAAAAGCATGAGCAGAGACAAGTCAAATTTTGAGTATTTGAAAGAAATGGAAGACAGCAATTGCTTCACTATGCAGTATAAAGTCAGAGTGCTATGATGGGGATGCTATTCTTCATAGACAAAATAATAAATATTCAATACAGAAAGAAGAAAGGAAATTTTTAAAAGGAAAAATGATCAGATCTCTCCAAATTTAGATTAAGAAGTTACCAGATCTCTCCAAATTTAGATTAAATTCATAGCATGATAATAGCAGATACTTCACAAAGAAGTAATAATTCATGTTTTATTTCCAATGATTCCATGTTTGAGTCAAAATGAGAATGACTCATATTAAGTGTTTAAATTGCCTTGACAAGTCACATTTAACTACGATCTCAGGATCTGCACCAAAGAATAAGGAAACCCACAAATGCTGTCCAGCCAACTCATAAAATAACTTAATATTATCCATCAATTTTACTATGTGTCCCTAGTCCATTCATTATCACATGCTGCTTAATAACTTTAACATATCCTCAAATCCTCACTCTCATCTGATAATCTCAAGTTTTACTTCACTGAAAAAAACCTGAAGCAACTGAAAGAGAACATGTACCAAATCCCATCTATCTCCCTAGTGGCATGTGTATTACGAACTCTGTCTTGGCCTATTTCATAAAGTACTCATGCTCCTATGGAAAGCCAATCATTCCTACTTGTACACTAAATCCCTTCCTCTCTTGCCTTTTCCAAAACATTTTCAGCAATTCTTACCTTTCTCCCCTTAAATTGCAGGTATTTTACGCTGTAATGACTCATTCCTATCATCAGATGCCCTTATTTTCTCATCATTAAAAAAATTTCTTGGCCGGGCGCGGTGGCTCACGCCTGTAATCCTAGCTCTTGGGAGGCCGAGGCGGGCGGATTGCTCAAGGTCAGGAGTTCAAAACCAGCCTGAGCAAGAGCGAGACCCTGTCTCTACTATAAATAGAAAGAAATTAATTGGCCAACTGATATATATAGAAAAAATTAGCCGGGCATGGTGGCGCATGCCTGTAGTCCCAGCTACTCGGGAGGCTGAGGCAGAAGGATCGCTTGAGCTCAGGAGTTTGAGGTTGCTGTGAGCTAGGCTGACGCCACGGCACTCACTCTAGCCTGGACAACAAAGCAAGACTCTGTCTCAAAAAAAAAAAAAAAAAAAAAATTTCTTGACCCCACTTTTCTCATTAGCTATGGCCCCATTTCTCAGTTCCCTTTTATAGGATTCCTCACTATCTTCACTTCTCCTCCTATTGTCTCTTAAAATCACTCCAGACAAAATCTCTCCTTCAGCACCTTACCTCAATGCTCTATTCCTGTGTAGATCCCAGTACTTCCACTTTGTTAACTCCAATGATAAATTCTTAGTTCTCATCTTACTTGACCTGGCAGCAGCATTTTACACAACTGACCACTCTCTCTCTATTAACAAACTTTCTTCATTTGATTTCCTACCTCACTGGTTGCTCCTTCTCAGATTCTTCCTCTTTTCTCCAACCTTTCTCCTATCTATACTCATTCCCTTTATGAGCACACATCAGTATCAGAGCTTTATGTGCCATCTATATGCCCCAATTTATGACTGGCTGACTGCTATAATATCCAAAAGGCATAAGGATTCAAACATAACAAAGCTTATTTCTTAGTTATCTAACCATATTGGGAGAGGTTGAACAGGTTAGCAGGGTGGTCCTTATCCACACAGTCATTCAGGAACGTAGGCTGATGGACAATCTACCATTTCCACATAACACATGGCTTCCCACATACCCTAATAATCATCTCAGTTCCAGCCAGCCAAAAGGCAAAAACAGGATAGAAGATATTTGTATGGGCCAGACCTACAGCTGATATACAACACTTATGCTCGTATTCCTTAGCTCAATCACATGACTATACCTAACTGCAAGCGAGAAATGGTGTCCAGCTGTGTATTCAAGAAGAAAATGAGACATGGATATGTTGAACAGTCTCCGCTACGGTGCCTCATTTCCAAACTCCTAACTCATATATCCTACTACTTATTTAACATCATAGATAGCTAACAGATATCTCAAATGTAACACACCCAAAACTGAATTCTGGATCTGTGGTCGCCGCTTCCCCCTTAACAACTCTTTTTCTTGCACACCTTACACTCAATCTATCAACAAATTCTGCTGAATCTACTTTCAAAACATTCAAAATCTGACTACTTCTCAATACTTCTGCTGCTACCAATCTGGCCTAGATAACAGCAAGAGCTTCCTCTCTGATCCCCTTGCTTCTACCTCGTCCCTTTACAGTCTATTCTCGACTCAGCAACAAAAGCATTCCTGTTAAAATATAAGTCAGATCATGTCACCCACTTCTGGCTGTTCAAATCCTGAATGGCTTCCCATTTTACATAAAGCAAAAGGCCTTTGGCCATCCCTCCATCCCCTCTAGGATTTCATCTCCTACTACTTACCTCCCTACTTCAAGCTACTCCAGCAACTTTGGCCCTCTTGCTGTCTCTTGAATAAGGAAGGCACATTCCAAAGCAGAATCTTTGAACTAGTTGGTTCTTCGGTCTGAAATGCTTCTCTTCTCCCTAAAGTGATTATTCAAATGCCATCTTCTCAGGTAAGGCCTACTGTGACCTCCCTATTTTAAATTGCAACCAGCCCCCAAGCCAACTCTACACTGTTTAACTTTCATTTTTCCGTAGCACTTACCACCTTCAAACATACTTCAACACACACACACCTCCACCAGAATGTAGCTAGATAGGGTGGAGACCTTTGTTTTGTTTTCAAATGTACTCCTAAACACTACTTCACATATAGTAGGCTCTCAAATATTTATTGTATACGTGAATATATGTGTTTTCCCATGAAATGACTCAATAAATACAAAAGTCACCAATGTAGTTTTGGATGGAGCACAAGGCAAATGGTGACCAAAGCTTTTAAAGATACCAAAACTTTTGCAAGTCATAATGCTTTATAAGCCAGAAGACAGTCTTTCTACTACTATATTAAGAAGTTTTATCTCTTTCCCATGAATTGCTCACCCAATACATATATCAACATGTTGCCACCTTAAGTTTAATTCAGTAACAGTTTAGAGATAACATTAATAAAAAGTAGTCAACATTCAAACAGTTTTACTAGGTCAATCATCAATTCTACATCAAGAACTGCCAAAAGTTTTAACAACTAGAGTCTTTGCTAAGTATGTTACTGGACATTCTTAAAAAAAAAAAACACACGCACAAAGATTTCTGAAAGGAAAATTTTACATATACAGTATTTACCTTTTGTCTTGAAAGCCAGCAGAAAAAAAATTACACTTCTATAATTCTGTGAAGGCTTTTACATATTCTTCATCTCACTTTATTTTCATACCACTCCTATGGTCTACTTAACACATTTGGGCTACTAGAAGTTCAGTGCACAGCATAACAAGTGGGGAACAGGATTAAGAGATGCCAGCAAAAAGCAAGCACTGAACTTAGTTCTCATGTATAATGAAACTTAGTTGAGATTGTATAACTTACTGTTAACATGAGAAGGCATAGGCAGGAGGAATATGAGTGGAATATTGTCAATGGTAGAGGTGATCATGTAAAAACTAGAGGGAAACAAACATTTTCAGTGACTCTAGAATAATGACATAATCTCTTCCCTATCTGAAGCTCTCTGATACTATTTCCATGGAAGTAATATAATGTATTAAAAAAAAATACTGAGTTATTTAGAAGTAATTATTAATAGGACTTTATCTTTTTACAGTAAAAAAAGTTATAAAAGCATAATTGGTATTAATAGAAAAAAAGGATATTTTTATAGTAATAAATTACCTTCATACATTACTAGAAATTATGCTAATGAGAATTCTTTAAAAATAAAGAATATCTACCTAAGCTTTAAATGAATAATTGTTTCTTTTATCCCTCAAAGCTACAGAGAGATTTCTTAGAGAGTATAAACTTTGAAACAGAGGAAAAGGGATAAGACCCAAGTATGACAATACAAAAAGTAAAATATAAGATCTAATAATCATTTATAATTTTACTGTGGCACTAGTAATCTCCTTTAATATTAAAAATACATCTATTAATATAAGCCTAAACAGAAATTTATTTTGCAAAGTAAACGCTGTAAAGTAGGAAATAGTTTAAAAATATTAGGTCCAGCTCATGCCTTGTAATCCCAGCACTTTGGCCAAGGCAGGAGGATTGCTTGAGACCAGGAGTTCAAGACTAGCGGCGGGCAAGAGCAAGACCCCTGTCTCTACAGAAAATAGAAAAATTAGCCAGGCATGGTGGTGAACACCTGTAGTTCCAGTTATTCAGGATGCTGAGGCAGGAGGATGGCTTGAGCCAGGAAGTTAGAGGCTGCAGTGAGCTATGACTGTGCCATTGCACTCCACCCTGGGGGGAAACAGAGTGAGACCCTGTCTCAAAAAAAAAAAAAAAAAAAAAAAAAATTGGTCAATGGAGAAACAACCATAAGTGGTATATTAAACTGTTTTAAAATACTCCAAGGTAAGTGACTAATTCAAAGCATCCTAAAATTTTATTTAAGCTGTTCTAAAAATAAAGTCAAAACTTTCTGGTGTTATTAATTTAAAGGTTATGTATTTAGTGCAAGAAAAAATATAAGGCAAAAGTAAGTAGTTCTAAAATACAATTAAAGTATCTTTTACAATAAGAAGATCCACGTATTTTTTATTTTTTAAAAATACATTAATTTTGGAATGACAGCTGAAACAATCTGCCAAGATATTATGTTTCTCTCTCCTTACAAGTGCAGTTTTAAAATCTGCAAGATGGCCAAACAAAATTGGAATGATACTCCTTGCAACATGAACAAAAGCCTGGTCACTTTCTACCTTCCCAATTCTCACATTACCCTGTACTGGTCAGGTAATTCCAGATTTATTCTCTATGAATGTATGTTTCCTGACTTTTTGTTTTTAAATTATTAAGTGAAAATCATGATGAGAAACATCATTTTATATTGTAGGGTCACTTCCCAGGCTAAGTAGTAAAAACCTATCACTAATGAAAACAAGGTGAAGGCCCTATAAGACCCACCGCAAAATACAGAAATATGACCAACGACCAACATATGTTTACCCTTAGCAAAAACATAACAATTTAATGATGTCTCTACGATTAATAAAGGTACTAATTCTGAAACATCATAGAACATGACATAGGTTTCAAAACAAAAATTCTTATAATGAATATAGAGAATAACATAGCTGGTATTGTAAACTAGCATCTTCCATAGTCTGATTGACATTTTCAAAGACTTTTTGGTGAATAAACATCTTAATAGATTCACTTTCTCCCATACATATTTTGATTACACTTCATAATTTTGCAATATGGTACAAAGGATATGACTTTCTTGTGCAACCTACTAGAGTATCTCTTTTATTTCTTAGAAGGAAATTAATTTTGGAGGATGATGGCATTTTTAGACAGGAGTCTCTATCCTTCTCATTTGCCAGCAAATTAATTTTGAATAGAACTTTTTTTTTTAACCTGCTTTTCATGAACCTCACCACCACATAATTCAAGACAAAAGTGTATTAGCTATATACTGAAGTAAGTCTTAAGTGTTTTTTTTGGTAGAAAACATCTTTGGAAATCTTTAGAAAAATATGGGTCCTTTCCATTCCAAAAGTACCATAACACAAGGAATTCAAAAATCACATTTCAAAGTTCTAAAAATCCTGTGAACTGGACCTACCTAATACTATAGAGCTATGGTAATTAAGACAGTGTGGTATTTGCCTTAGACGTATAGATCAATAAAACCATAGAATCCAAAACTCACAAACATAAGCAACTGATTTCAATAAAGGTGTCAAGGTAATTCAACAGAAAAAGGTTTGGGTTTTTTTTTTTTTTTTGAACAAATGGGAAACAAATGGTCATCCATATGTAAAAGAATGAACTTTAACCACTACCTCACAATCTATACAAAAATTAACTCCAAATGGATCATAGACCCAAATGTAAAAGCTACAATTATAAAATAGGAAAAATATAGAAAAAATGATCTTGAAATAGGCAAAAGATTTACTGCATAGGATGCAAAAAGCATAAACATAAAAGAAAAATTTGATAAACTGGACTCCATCAAAAAATAGAACTGCTCTTCAAAAGACACTTAGGAAAAGGAAAAGACTAACTACAGTCTGTGACTCAAAACATGTATTTGATATAAAGGATTTGTATCCAGCTCATATATAGCACTTTACAGCTCTATAGTAAGAAGACAAATATCAAATAAATAGCTTTAAATAGATACTTCACTAAACAAAATATATGTTTAATAATAAGCACACAAATAGATGTCCAACATCATTAGTTATTATGAAAATGCAAATTAAAACCACAAAGAGTTACTGTCATCTACATATGGCTAAAACTAAGACTGACAAATTCAATTGCTGCCAAGGATACAAAGTAACTAGAACTCTCATTTGCTGTAGGTGGCAATGCAAAATGGTACTGCCCCATTAGAAAAGTTTGATAGTTTCCTTTACAGTTAAGCATATACTTACCGTACAACCTAACAATCCCAATTCTAGGTCCTCACTCAAAAGAAATGAAAATCAACGTCCACACAAAAACCTGACACCAAATGTTTATAGAAGTTTGATTCATAATTCCTAAAAAGTATAAAACCAACCCAAATATCCATCAAATAGTAAATGTATAAACAAACTGTGATACATCCACACAACAGAATACTATTAAGCAATAAACAGAAGCTAATTACTGATACATGCAACAACATGGATGAATCTCAAAAACATTATACTAAGTATAAGAAGCCAAATACATAAGATTACCACTGTATAATTCCATTTATATGACTTTCTAGAAAAAGCAAAACTAGAAAACAGAACAGTGTTTGCCAAGGACTAAGGCTGGAGCCTGGGACTGAATGCAAAGAACAACTAGGGAACATTTTGGAATGATAGAAACATTCTATATCTTAATTGTGGTGGTAGTTACAAAGTTTGTCAAAACTCAAACTGTACATTTAAAATGATATATTATGTGTAATTAGATCCCAATAAACCTCATTTTTTAAAAAAGCAATTATGTTCCTTGAACTGTGTATGACCAAAAAAAATTTAAAAAGCAATTATGAATTTTCTACTGATCTCTAAACCACACCTTAATTTCAGAACCTCAAATGCAATGCAGATTTATAGACCAGAAGTTAGAACACTTCTGCCCATGAACTGGCCTACCACCTGTTTTTGTATAGCCCACAAGCTAAAAATAGTTTTTATGTGTTTAAGTGGTTGAAAAAAAAAAAATCAAAAGAAGATTATTTCATGACACATAAAAATGATACAAAATTCAAAGTTCAGTGTCCATAAATAAGTTTTATTAGAACACCAAGAAGCTCATTTGTTTATATACATTGTCTATTAGCTACTTTTGGGCTATCACAGTATTGCTGAGGAGTTGTGACAAGGATCATATGGCCCACAATTCCTAAAATATTTACTATCTGACTCTTTACAGAAAATGTTTGCTAATCTCTGCCTTAGATACACGTTGATATTTTCTACGCAGATTATGACACCTAGGAAGTGTCATGCCAGCAAAAACCTCTCTTCTACACATAGTAGCTCTAAAATTTTTACAGCCATAAAAACCTTTTTTCAAGGAAAACAAACACGTAAATGAAGTTTAGTTAAGGTGTAGAGGCACTAAACAGAACCTTGGGGTAACCTCTGAAGAAGGTCCTTGAAATCCCAAAACAGTATTTTTCACATTGCCTATTTCAACCAATTTGGCATCAATCTAACAAGCTGATTTTATGACTAGCATAAAAACAGAGAGTTGAATAATATAGAAAATCAGAGCACCTCATATATAGTTTTGTTTCATTCACAAATTCGTTCACCAAATATCTCAGTGCCTATGCACCAGGTATTGTAAATCCTCATTATAAATGAGGATTTAAAAAAAAGTATAAAACAGACAAAAACTATTTTATATACTAAAGCTCTGGTATAATTTGCAAACCACCATCCTGGTACGTCTGTCCCAAAAGTGTTATCAGCAACAGCAGCTACATTACAAGAATGAAAATGATGTTTCATTTGATGTTACAGAGCTTCCAGAAGATATAAAGTTAATTGAGTTCAAAGCAATTTTTATATTCTGTATCAAGGGCATTCCCAGGAACCAGAAAGGAAAGTTACTAGGCATCAATTTCCTTCTATATGCATAGTCTTGATAAGGAGCAAGAATAATAGTTTTTTTTAAGCCCAGGAGAATACGTGGAAACCAAAATAATCTCAGAGGGTAGAGGGGAGAAAAAAATAATTGCTTAATGTTAGGATGGAGGCTGTATTAAGAGTTTCTTCTGACTACCATGCTAATTAAGTATGATAGTAAATTAGGTTGGGAGCCAAAAGAAACTGAAAAATAAAAACCATCTCCCAGAACATGTCAATGCTTCCACAAAATATTTAAGGAAAGAATGAAACAAATGAGGATATATTTGTTTTTATACTAACATGAAGTGATCTATAACACGATGATTAAGAAAGCACTACTTAACCTTAAAAACAGAAAAGCTCCCAAACCCTATTTTGAATTCAGAAGTTCTGTAACTACTGCTGATCCTTACTTGACAGAATAACCAACATAGGTGAAATAGACAAAAAGAATGAGTGAAACTCAAAACGACTTCTGAGGAAGAAAAAATCTAGGA